AAATTAAAAAAAAAAAAAAAAAAAAAAAAGATTTACTATTTCTCTTACAGTGCAGTCTAGCGCAGATCATCAGACAAGTTCCTTCTGTGTAGTGTTCAGAAATCACCCTGCGTGTCAGAGTCCTCTGCTGCATCCTTGCAGTCAAGAAGAAAGGTAGAAAGCGTGCAGAAACACATAGGAAGTTCTGAGGTCAGGCCTATATGGGACATATTACTTCTGCCCAAAATTTATTAACAGAACTCAGTCACATGGCTCACTTAACTGTAACGGAGGCTAGAAAATATAGCTTTCTCAAATGCAAGGGAAAAAAATTAAATGATAGTCAGTGTCACATTACAGTATCTCTGCCACAGTATGTATTTCAGTAACTTGAGTTTGAGGGACTTAACCAAGAAGGCTAACAGAAAAAGACATGGAGAAACAAACTACACACAGATACAGCTGAAAAGATAGATGTTAATTTACTACTAGTGACTACTGAGTTAGAATTTAAGTTACCTTGCTCCTACAGAACTAGTCTCTGTCTGCATCCGTGGATAGGCTTTGCTGGGCATGGCCATTGTTAAGGCTGGGACTCTTAATTAACACCAAAAGGGGGCTGGGGATTTAGCTCAGTGGCACAGCGCCTGCCTGGCAAGTGCAAGGTCATGAGTTCAATTCCTGGTATCGGAAGAAAAACAAAAATTAGCGCCAAAAACCTAGAAGCTGTTAACTTACTACTTGTGATTCTTTTTAGCAGGCCTAATAATCCTGTCTCTATGTTTCTTTTTCAGGGTTTGAGTAAAAAAGTTGGTGTATCATCCTCCATCCTCCAAGGTCTCTGGATCTCCTATAGCACAGAAGGTCTTTCCATGGCACTGGCATCTTTACGAAATCTCTACACTCCGAACATAAAGGTAGACACAAAGAAAGTACAAATACATTTAAAAATTAACTGTAAGAAAATAAAACTAGAAGGACAATGACTGATTATTTAGTTGCTGATTTGCCTTAGCTTGTCTCTTATTAATTAGCCTTTTACTGATAATATATTTTAAATTGTTACATCTTATTCTGTGAATTGAAAACTAACCGTTTTCCCTCTGCCTTCTATAAGCTGACTCTCACATATGAAATCAGGTCTTGGTAGTTCTAGAGAGGAGACTGATCTCAGCCAGCCTTTGTTTGAGAGGAGCTTTTCTGATCAAGAACATGATTAGTAGAGATGATGTTCTAGAGTGTGGGTAGCATTTGCTCCACCTACTTAGCAGTTTATGTAGAGGAGACTTCATACATTCCTTTCAGAAAGCAAGGTACCTGTATGGAAAAAGGAACAAATGAAGGATATAAAATAAAAGTTACTAAATGCTGGAGTCTCTCAGGTGATTTAATTAAAAAAAAAAACTAAAAGGATGTACCTGATGTTTGTCTGATGATTATTTCTATTTATTTGCTTGTTCCTAGGTCAGCCGACTGCTGATTTTGGGAGGTGCCAATATTAATTACCGGACGGAGGTTTTAAATAATGCTCCAATTCTGTGTGTTCAGTCTCATCTTGGTTACACAGAAATGGTGGCCCTGCTTTTAGAGTTTGGGGCCAACGTGGATGCCTCTTCTGAAAGCGGCCTGACTCCTCTGGGGTACGCTGCAGCGGCAGGGTTCCTGAGCATTGTGGTGCTACTGTGCAAGAAACGGGCCAAGGTAACGGCTCTCCACCTCTACTAGTATTCCTTTCTTGCCTTTTCCTTCCTTCCTTATGTAGAATCTTTCTTAAATCCTAAGTTACCTCGGGAGTCCAGGTACATAAAACCATAATGGGGGCGCAGATCAAAAGGAGAGCTGGCTCTGCTTCCGTCAGTGTTTGCCTGCTTGCCGCTGCCAGTCCACACTGCACCTGGATACGGCTAGTCTTCGAGAGACACTTAGGAAAGGATGTTTATCTGCAACCACAAAAAGTCCCTAGTAGACAACTCAGAAGTTCTCTGTTGGGCTCAGAAGAAGCCTCTTTCTAACAAAGAAAAAGTAAAGGAGTGAGGAGCCCACAGTGGGAGTTCTGAATGGAATGGCTCCTGCAGACTCTTCGTTACCCAAGTAGATGACAGAAGACCAGATCTCCTCATTCTGTCCTTGAAGACCACCATCTTTGGAATTTGAGGAAAAGATGATTTTCTCTATTTATACTTAGACTGAACAAGGGCATCCCAAAATGTTTGTTAGTACATTCTGATTCTCCAAAAACATTTCCAAAATGTTTGCTTTATGGTATCTGCAGAGCCACTTGTATAAAAGAACTCAGTTTCAGAAAAGAAAAATGCTAGCTTCACAAATGTAAAGTTGTGGGGAAAATTGTAGCTTATGGTATTTTGATTCTGTCCTGAAAACAAACTGAGGGTGTCAGTTTCCTAGTGAAATATATGTAACATGTGTGATCTCCTTCTGAGGGTGCAGTGCTCTTAACAGGGAAGCAAGTGGGACTCCTGAGGCTCCCTTCGGAACTGAGACTGAGACTTGCATGGAACTGCAGAGCTTTGGAGGTTAACTGTGACCCAGTAATCGTCCACCTATAATAACATCCATTTATTTGAATGGATATTTCTAGAAAAAAAATAATTGGTCATTACATTATTACTGTGATACTGCACATTCAGATCTCAGCTGGGTCTTTCCTGCTGCTCAGCCCGTGCACAGCCAACACATTTTTCTATGCATCTTTCATCATTTCCTCTCCTCTCAAAGTGCTATCACACCTCCTCCACCTTCCTACATTAGTAAAATTGAGTTTATCTCAATGTACCTCCGTCTCAGAACTCTACTAGTCCTACGTACACTCACTTGTACTTCTGCCTCAGAGAAGGGAGTGTTTGCCTTACTCTCCAAAGCAGTTGCTTCCACCTGTGTTCCTGACCCAGTAAGCTGGTTTTTGTCTCACATTATTTCATTCCTTTCCTAAATCATGCAACTTGCCCCTCCAATTTCTAGAAACGTATGAATGCCTCCCTGACCTAACACAGAAACCCTCCTGCTGCTGCCTGCCAAGAGGCTGCATCCCATCTTTTCCTTTCCTTGTCCACCAGACCTATCATCTCTACTTACTGCCTCTGCTTCCTTAGTATTCCTTAACCACTTGGAGTGTGGCTTTCTTTAGAAAGGAAACAAGTTGTGAAAGTCAAAAGCGTTAGAATCAAACACAAGTGGGTCAAGTCCACAATTGGGACAAATATACTCTTTATAAAGACTTAAGAAAGTCATTTAACCTATTTCAGTCTCACTTTTTCATCTATAAAAGAAATTAAGGCCTGCATGGTAGCTTAAACGTATAATTCCAGCTACTCAGGAAGCTGAAACAGGAAGATCACATTAAAATCCTAGGCTTTGGAATCAAATACAACCAGGCTTGAGCTCTTCTGCCTACATTTGTGTGATTCTTAACTCGAAGTTGCAAGTTCCTGAAAATTCTTTTGAGAATGGTGTTACGTGCCTAACTGCCTCCTTGATGTAGATTATGCCTGGTGCCTCACATTTAATTTTCTAAAATATTTTTTTTTTTTGGTTTTGGCTTTTGAGACAGGGTCTCACTATATACTTCAGGCTGGCCTTGAACTCACTATGTAGTCCAGTTGGGCCTCAAACTTAGCAATCCTCCTGTCTCAGCCTCCTGAGTGCTAAGATTAACTACCTCCTCTGCCTGGTTTTTACAGTCTGATAATGCTGCACCTGTTTTTCTCAAAACTAATCTTTGGCTCTTCCCTGTCATTTGCCCTTCCAAGTTCAGTTAGTAGCCAAACGTTCAATTTTATACTGAAAGTAGCTTGAGCAATAATTCCTTTTTCTCCATCCCAACTACCACCATCCTCCTGAATTATTCTTAGCATGTTCTTATGTAAAAACACCCTTTTCAAATTCTGACTTTGTTATTACACATCATCGCATTTATTTCTGTAAACCTTTTATTTTGAAACAATTTGAGACATTGAAAAATACTGCAAAATAGCCCAGAAGGTTCTGTATCCTCCACCTAGCCTTCTCTCATGGTAACAGACTGAGTAATAACCACGCTCCAATTATAAAGCCCAGAAAACTAATACTGATAGAGTATTAATACTAATCTGCACACCTTATTGAAATTTTCCCAACTGTCCTGCTAATACCCTTTTTTGTTACAAGAGCCAGGTTAGGATCCCACGTTACGTTTAGTTGTTGTCTCCTTAGTCTCCTGCAATCTGTTTCTCAATTTTTCTTTGTCTATTATGATCTTGACAACTTCGAAAAATACAGGCCAGTTGTTTTTGTTGAAGTTTTTTAAATTTGTTTGTCTGGTGTTTTCTCATTAGGTGAGGTTTATATATTTCTGGCAAGAATACATAAGTAATTCTGTGTCCTTATTGAAATGCAGCACTTGAGGTTCATGACATCAATATGTCTTACCGTGGATGATGTTAACATCAATCACTTACTTAGTTAACCTAACATTTTCCAGATTTCAACTCAGGTTACTGTTTTTCCCTTTACAGTTAAGAAATACTGTACCTTTCAAGTAGATGATTTGAGACTAAGCAGATACATACCCTATTTCTCATCACAATTTTGTCCACTCATTGTAGGATTCATAATTGATTCTTGCTTCAATAACATTACTGTTGTATTTGCTTAGTGGTGATTTTCTGTTTTCATCCTTCCTTCAACATTTATTCGTTGTAATTCCACTGAAGGAAGAGCTGTCTCTTCTCATTATGTAATTATTTATTCAGTTACCTATATCAGTATGAAATAATGTATATTTATCTTATCCTGTGGCCTGTAATCAATTTCCGTTAGTATTCATTTTGTTGCTCAGATTGCCCCAGATTTGGTCATTGGTTCTTGTACCTTTTAACTTTCCCCTACTATGTGGAATAACTTCCTTCTTTCCTTGCACAAGGTGTTCCAGAATCATCTCTTCCTATTACTGCCCCAGCTCTGGAATCAACCATTTCTCTAAGGAGCTATGATTTCTTTTATTCATACCCTGAGTTTTTGAAAATGCAGTTATGAGCATGAAGATTTACTACCTACTGATTAAATTCAAACCACTTAGTGTGGCATTGCAGAACGTGTCTGCTCTCAACTTGATACTTTAAACTTCTTCCTTTAAGTACCTTACCCTTAAAAAAATCTAGAGTAAGTTAACAGTTTACTATGTCAGCCAGTTGACATGGAACTTTCCTTATGAATTTGTTCTTAATTGTAGTCAGGAATTAATATTTCCTTTCTGTGAAATTTTATTGTACTTTTATTTTCCTTGTGATATCATACATCTTTAGTTGTTTGGATAGTACTTTGTTACATTAGTCACATCTTATCCTACTTGCTTATTTAAAAGTTTATTAAAAGTTTATTTAAAAGAATCTATATACTACTATCTTATTTACCTTTTATTCCATTTGGTACCTTGCACATACTAAGTTTTCACTGAACATTTGTCAGTATGGATTGCTGGGTGGAACCAAAGTCAGTGGGAGAACCAGACAGAACTTCGATTTTAAGCCTGCTCACTACCACAGACAGATAGCATATTCCTGCTAGAAAAGATTATTTCATGCATTGAAACTTTCAGATAGGTGCCTTTTAGTAGATTGATCTTAATCATTCTCTTTTTTTAGCCTAAACTTGGAACCAACACTGAAATTAGAAAACTGCTATTACAGCTTAGTCTAGCACTGAGCTCCAAATGCCTCTAGCTGTTTGGGCCTGATCTTTGAGATTTTGCCCTTCTGAAAGAGAGGAGTGACTTTTGCCAAAGCTTGGTTGTCGAGTGAGTGATTTATGATATATTTTGCCTCTTTAGAATACAAAAACATTTGGAGCTCCAAAAAAGTTTTGTCCTTTTCATAATTTCAAAGACTGGTTTCTGTGCCAACACAGCTATATGTCTCTCAGATCTTGGTTGAGAAGAACTATTTGTGCAGAAAGTAGAATGTACCTAAGGAAAGCAAAGCTTGAGCTAAGAGGATTTTCCTTCTAATGTTAAAACAAAGATCTGACCTCCTTTTCTAGAGTAACGAAGTTCTCTCCCCAGAAGGGACATCGAGCAGAATTATGGCTTGTTGGTATGGTAATGTTCTAGCCCAAATAGAATATCTTGTAATTTCTGTCAGTGATCGTTTTAAGAAATGGTAGTGGATAAATATTAGTAGTCTAGAAGTGTGCCGTGAGCTGGTGTGAGCAGATTGGGGGTACGGCTACAGAGCTTGATTAACAGATTTTTCTGTTCTCTCCCCTTAGGTGGATCACTTGGATAAGAACGGGCAGTGTGCTTTGGTTCATGCTGCACTCCGAGGTCATCTAGAGGTCGTCAAATTTTTGATCCAGTGTGATTGGACAATGGCTGGCCAGCAGCAAGGAGTGTTTAAGAAGAGCCATGCCATCCAGCAGGCCCTCATTGCTGCAGCCAGCATGGGTTACACCGAGGTATGAAGAAGGCATTAGGATGTTATCTCCAAGCTATATATTTAAGGACCTAGGGAACTAGGAGAAAAGGCTTGGCTATTAGAGAATTGCCATGCAAATTAACACGAATTTTGGGTCACTTATCTGAGGAATAAAGAGATTAAAATCCACTAGGCCCTTAACTACTCACACGCTAACATACCTAGAATCACAGGCATAGAACATCAGAGTTGTAAAGGACCTTGGAAGTTATCTAATCCAATCCCTCCCATATTTCTGCCCCTGTTTAACAATGACTGAACCACAGAGGGATTGGTTGTTGTCACATGATTACACAGTGTGGAATGGAAGAGCACAGCATGAAAAAGCTCAGAAGGCTCAGTTTTGATCCTAGCTTTGCTGCTCATTAAATCTAGACCTTGGCTAATACCAACTCTCTTAGAATCTTAGTTTCCTATACATAAAGTGAAATTATTAAATTCTTTTTTACAAGCTGTTAAGAGGGCACCTTGTAAACACTTAAACACTATACAGATGGTATTTTTGCCAATGTATTTACTTACAGTAATAATGTTAATAGTGGCAAATGTATGAAGTTGGTAGTTGGATATGAAATGTTTAACAACTGACCCCGGTGAGGGGAGCAGAGTAGAACAGATAGGGGTATGTGTGTATGTGTGTGTATGAGTTTTTTAAATAAATTTTACTGATGTAAAGAATATGCTGCACACTGCACAAATAATAAAATGCAAAGTACTCTGGAGTGCTTCAGTCAGCCTTTGCCATGTTTGTATCTGTGGCTGACCTGTGGTTGCAGCCAACCACAATTTGACAAATGGAGGTCCTTCCCACTTCGCTCTTTCCCCAGTCATTCTTCTGCCCTTAGATGCAGTATGAGGTATACTGGTAACCACTTGTAATTTTCATGTAAATATATTCATTAAACTGAAACTTCAGCTTAGTCTCTAAGCCAAACACTGAGTTATGCTGTTGCCGATTTCTGGGGTATAAGTACTCCCACCATGGCCAATTTCAGGCTCCCGGTGTGATAATCACTGAATGCAAAAATAGAAGCCACTGTGTAATATTTCCACTCTATAGATACAATAAATGTAAACAACCTCAGTGGCACAGATAGTAATAAAGTGTAGTTAAATAATTAGGAAGTTATGAGATTTGAGGGGTGTTTGTTTATTTTTTGTGGTGCTGGGGATCAAAGCCTGGTCCTCACACATGCTAAGCAAGGACCCTACCACTGAACTACATCTCCAACTCAAATTGGAGTATTTCTTTTACCTTTGTTTTTAATGTAATTTATTTACTACTTAATTTGTAATAAAAAATTGATTTTATTTCACAACTGACTTGCAAAATTTCTCAAAATGTAACAGCTCTTCTGGGCCACTACACACCAGCTGTATACTACTGCATGGGAAGCTCGGTGAAATAGCTACCCTGTCAGCTGATGTTCTACGTCTCCAAGAGAATATTAAGTAAAACTGACATTTTTACAGTCCACAGAAGATTTTTTTTAACATTCTGTCGTGGAAGCAGTCAAATGCCTGGAAACAGAGCAGTCCCTTCTCTTTGTGGTTAGCAGCCATTGTCTCTTTACTAGACCCAGACAGTCATTCTCCTGAGAGGAAAAAAGATGGTACCGTTCTACTCAGAAGAAACGTACGCCCTCAGTTTTCTTCATTGCACCTTATGGAAAAGTAAAAGAATGTTTCTTTAACCTAAATAGGAGGAGTATGTAGTTTTTAAAAATCACATACTATGTAAGTGAATTATGCTCAAAAGAAACATATAAACTGATAGGATAAATGCTTATCAGAGTAAATTTTGGGTTTCTTTGCTAAGACAAAGTGTTCTGATTCCTTCTGTGTCCAAGGTAGTGATACTGGGATGATCCAAGTAAGTATCTTCCAAACCTCACAAGCAGCAAATTAGTAACAGTTTTCTATGTGAAGTTTGAACTGATACAATTTCTTGTTTCAGATTGTCTCCTACCTACTTGATCTTCCAGAAAAAGATGAAGAAGAAGTGGAACGGGCACAGATCAACAGTTTTGACAGTCTCTGGGGAGAGACGGGTATTGCTCATGGACATTCTCTCTCATATGCTATGTCTGAATTTATGTGGGCTCTCCGTATCTCATACCTTTATTTCTTCTCTTTGGCATACCTTTGACACTCTTCGGTCTTGTGACCTTTGTGTTGGAGACTGATTCAGCCCAAGTCAGGAAATTTCCCTTCTTTAGTCCTTTTCCCTTTGAACTCTCCATACCTTTAGCAATTTCAAACAAAACTTTTCTCCACTCTTGTTTCCAACTATTTTTAAAAGACTACAAGTTTCCTTACAATGTACCAAACCAGAGCAGAAAATAGTTGTGACCTTTCTCTTTTATGTGATTTAGGTAGTATTTTTCCCATTAAAATCACTGTGTCCACCTGTTGTAAACCAGAAGATTACATTTTATCCGTCTCTGATTTTTTTTTTTTTTTTTGGTTGTTTCTTTTTTTTTCCAGTACTGGGAATCGAACTCACGACCTCGCACTTGCCAGGCAGGCGCTGTGCCGCTGAGCTAAATCCCCAGCCCCTCTGATTTTTTTAATGGTGCTGCAGATTGAACCCAAACAGGATCTTATGCATTCTAGGCAGTTGCTTTACCACAGAACTACACTTCCAGCCACACTGTGTTTTAAGATGATATCGTGGTAGAGTAACAGCGGACACAGCTGAGTTTTAAATTACGAGTAAAGCCGCTATCTCTATGCAAAATGAAGGCACCACCCTGTTAAGGCCCAGCCGCATGCAGTTCCCCTTGGTTTATAAGAAAACAATTTCTGAGCCATTTGTTACTCACTGCAAGATACTTAGTGGTACTTGGATGACCCAGGCGTTTTCCAAACCTCAGAAGCATGTGGTACTCACTGCACAAATAGAAGGCTCCTGCTTATGGCCTTTGCAGGAGATGATTGCTGTCTTTCTTCCAAGTCTAAAATGGAGAATCTGGAGAAACATTAGTAATCAAAGGCAAGGAACATGGCCAAGTAACCACAGATATGTGTCATATTTACCAGAAGAGATGACTAATATTTAGGTGGACAATTTAAGGGAAATATTTTACTAAGAAAGAAAGGTTTGCGTTTTGGTTAGGGTAAGAGTGTTACTAAAAATAAGACTCTTGCTCATTTAAAATTTATAACAACCTATTGAATTATGCTACTTCTTCCCATGACAAAATTTCATACAGGTTTCATGATTTCTTTAACATTATCACATGGAATGATCCAGAGCTCAGGAATTTGCTTCTCAAACAATCCCCGCCTCTGTAAGAGCCAAGGGGAGCAGATGCCAAGCAGCTGCAGCTTAAGAGCCCATAAAAGCATAAAGGAAACTGTGCAGCTGGAAACAGCTGTTGTCTCTCAGAGAAGCTGGAGAGCAGGCTGTGGGGAGGGAACGGCCAGCACATCAGCAGGGCCGGAGTGGCCGCGATGACCTAGAGCTACAGGAGGGAGAGGTGGACTGACTTTCCGTCAGCACCGTCTTCCCCAACAGTGCTGCATACCTCTCAGGGGACCTCTTCTGCCCACAGCATGGCATGTAACCCTTGAGGGGGGCAGGATGGAACGTCATGGCCCAGTGATGATCGGGAATAGAAAGTACAAAGCTAACCATAATAATGAATGCAACATTCCAGCGCTATGTGTAAAAGAAATCCTTAAAAAGCTTCAAGAGGGGATAAACTAAATAGAGGACTATTTTTATAAATACGAATTTCCTGTTAGAATAAAACCATGTGGTCTCAGACTTTGAAAAATATTTTATTAATTTTCATATATATGTACTATCTCAGAGTTTTAAGAAAGCAAAACTTAATGTCAGTTTGCTTTGTTTACTACTTACCGAATTAAGTTCTTTAATGTTGTAGCATAAAAGCAAACAGTCATGATCTCCAGGTTCATGTACTGCCTGTCTTCTCCAGTAATTCCAATCATAATAACAACACGGTGTTGTTTCCCATAATATTGTCCCAGTGCCATGGCAGCACGCCCGCTCCGGAATGTCCCCGTATGCCTGTTAGTCTCCTGTCTGTCTTTCCTCATCTAGCTCAGATTATCCTCTCCTCCTGGAGGCCTTTTCAGATACTCTTCCTTCGCCACCTGCGTACTGTGGACTTATCTCTGTTGTGCTTACCACATTCGTAGCAGTGGATTTATCTGTTCTTACATGATCGTGGGTTTGCTGAGAACAGAAACATCTAGTATCTTTATCTAGCAAATAGCTCAATGAATATTTAGCTAATGTTCTGAGTAGCAATAATGAGTATATGTCTCCCTAATCACCTTCCCACCACTGATTTGACATGGTGTACTCCTTCAAAGTTGAGAATAAATAAAGGAATCATTTATTTCTCTGCATTCTATTTAGTGTCAGCATCCCATCCGCTCAGCTTTGCCTAATTCTCCAACTCCGCACTGCACTGCACTGCCTCTGCCTCTTTCTACTCTTCAGCTGTTTCTCTTTGGGACGAAAAATACTTGTTTCAGATAATCTTACCAGATGGCTGACAGAATTGGGAACAAACTCATTTTCTGTGCTTTAGGAAGATATTTTGCTCCTAACAGCTACATATTCTCTAAGAATCAGTTTGTTACCTTATAGACCTGGCTTTACCTTAATCTTTCCTTCAAAAAAAGTTCAAACAGTTTGTGATAAGACTCATAAAATCCAACCAAAGCAACTCTTGCTTTTTGAATTTGGAAAGTCTAAACTCTGTTTTTGAGATGACATTGGCCAGCTGTGTTAATAACCATGTCTAGCTATCAGCTGAAGTTTGCTGCCAAATGACATCATAACCTAAGCAACAGAGATAGTATAACAAAAAGACCAAATAGAACATTCCCTCACATAAAAATGTGATAGTCAACAGAGAGAAATGGGCCAATTAGAGTAATGTAACTGTTAGGATAAACAATACAACTTTGCAGAAGAGCACTGACTGTGAATATTCGTTTGTTCTGTTAACTGGCTTCACCAGTAAGAGGACTGATTTATCTTTTGTTTCCTCCAGAGTTCTGTAGGTTCTTGGGTGAAAAAGAATGCATTTGGCCTGCACACATAGGGAGGTTTACAGTAGCCGCATCACCTAATAGCTGCTTAAATGGGATCAGAATAAAGAAGTGGTTTGTTTACTGTACTAAAAAGATGATTCTTACGATGTCCAAACCGTATCTATCCCTGTCAGCTTCTTAAACTACTCTGGGGTTCCAACCTATATACAGGTGGAATTTTCTTCTTAACTTGGGAAATAAAGAAGATCACATGAATTCGAATTTAAAAGAATCAGGGCAGGGGCTGGGGATTTAGCTCAGCGACACAGCTCCTGCCTGGCAACTGCGAGGTCGTGAGTTTGGTTCCCAGTACCGGAAAAAAACAATAAATAAATAAAAGAATCAGGGCAAAACTTCTTTGTAAAGTAAATAATTATAGCCATTAACACACGTGCTCATTCATTCAAAGCTTAAAAATGACCTTCACCCTTAGATATAAGACCAAGCCTCTGCCCTCCTGTGAGGAACTGAACAGAAGTGCCCCTGTCCAAGAGTACCAAAATGAAATTAAAAATACACATAAGACAAATTATAAACCTGGTTTAAGAGTGCATATATCATGGAAGACTGTCGTACTTCTTAAGCCCGTCTTATCCTTGGGGAAGGAAGAGATTACTTGATAGTTTATCTTTGTGGAAATTATAGATGGCTTTAGTTTTGCATATAACTCAGTTGTGGATAAATTAGGCCAAGCCCCAAGACAAGGTGCTGTAACTTGCACTTAAATGCAAAAATAATGCAAGTGACCACTTGATTTAAATTTCAGTGGCTTTTCTGACTAGATTGCAACATTTACAAATTGAAATATCTGCACCTGCCAAACACTATCACTTTCTGATTTGTTATTGAAATGGGTGGTCGTAATGAAGGAAGGGCCTGTTGTCTCCCACGGCAGTTTTGCAAGTCCATCTGAGGAAGGAAATCACACTCTTCCTTTAAAATGGAATGTAACTCCTGTCACATAATAGTCTCCCATCGTCCCCACCCTTTACCCATTCTACAAAATAATAAATTATGCATTTTTAATTTCCTGGCTAAATAAAATAAAATACCTATTTGTTAAAAGATAAACTTACTATCTGCAGATTCCTCTTTCTACTGTTGAAACAGCACACTGAGGATGAAATAGACACTAAGAGAAACTCCACTGTATCAAAGATCATCAAGTAATGTTTTTCTTCCTGCTGTATCCTTTATACTCACATGGCTACTTATGTCCTTTGTGTTTATTTGTTGGTTCAGTTCGGTTTGTTTGTTTGTCTGTTTTCTGAGACAGGGTCTTGTTAAGTTGCCAAGGCGGGGTTAGAACTTGAACTACTCCTGCTTCAGCCTCTCAGAATGCTGTGATTACAGAAGTACCCGCTGTACATGCCCAGCTTAGCTCCTTTATTTTATATTCAGAGGAAAATAGTTTACCACACCTTTTTTCTCATCTTCAAAACCATTACCTTGAACAGTTCTGATACTCATATAAAAAAATAGTTGTAAATATAAGAAAACTTTGTATTTCAGTTAACGAGGAGGGAGGAAAGGAGAGAGGGGCAGGCGGGCAGGGAGTCAGGCCCATCTAAACCCTTAGACTGCAATTCCCGACCTTGACTCATTGGGTTTGACAGCTCAAGAACAGAGGTCAGCCACACGTGGTTCCCAGCTCACTCCAGCCAACTCCAGAACAGACTTTAGTTCTGTAAAATTTCTTCTCTCTGGGTTCCACTTACACATATATGTACTAGGAGAAGGTTTATAGCTGGAACGAAGCACCAAAAGAGAGTTAAGCCAAAGCAGAGAAGACAGTCTAGGTAGGAAAAGAAATGAAACTAGGTGAGTCAGACAAAGATGATTTTTCAATAGATGTATTCCTATGATTGCCTCAGATACTGTGAGCCCATTTAAAAGTTTTTATTCTCTATCGTCCTTTAAAAGAAATTTCCTTCCACAGGGCACAGTGGTGTATACCAGTAATCTCTACTCTGGGAGGCTGAGGCAGGAGGATTACAAGTTCAAGCCCAGCCTACGCAATACAACCATTTAGCAAGACTGTCTCAAAAAATAACAAAGGTCTGAGGATGTAGCTCTGTGCAAAGGCCCTGGGTTTGATTCCCCAGTATTAAAAAAAAAATATTTGGATGGTTAGTTAAAATCACTATTGTGAAGGTAAACTAACAGATAAACTATGCGGAAGTACCTTAAGGCCATGCTTAATATTGAGGGCTGAAAAGAAGGAGAACCTCCTAACCTCCGTCTTCCTTCTCTGCCCTCAGCCCTGACCGCTGCCGCCGGAAGGGGTAAACTGGAGGTGTGCCGTTTGCTCTTGGAGCAAGGTGCTGCTGTGGCGCAGCCAAACCGCAGAGGGGCGGTGCCCCTGTTCAGCACTGTCCGTCAGGGCCACTGGCAGGTAAGCAGAGGGTAATTCCCAGCGCCCCGGGCGGGAACGAGTTACAGGTACAAACTTACCATGAAAAGAATACAAAGAGCACAAATTCTGGTTACCGTAAGTCATTGGGTCTGAGGATTTGGGCCTTTGTTACTAATGTCCTTGTTACTGGAGAAAGTGATAAAAAGTTAACATTCAAAATCATCATTATCATCTAAATTGACTACCTACCTTTGTCCTCAACTTGCGGTAAGCTCATTCTCACATCTCACAGTATCCCCCAGGTCAGGGACAAGTTCATTTCTCAACCTGATAGCTGCTTATTAGCAGGTGTTTCAGACTTGCTAAAAGAAATGCAGTATATGCAGATTCTAGCTACGTGATCTTTCCAGATGTTTGAATTATGGAGAACGCTAATCTCTATACTTAGAATGGAAAAGAAAACATATTGATAATAATCTTCAAAAGTATTTGAGTAGGAAAGCAAACAGTGCTAAAGAGCTATCAGAGGCAGTTTTTTGTAGTCACTTCAGTGCTATTCACTGCTACGGGCAAGCTTGCAGCTCCTTAGAGATTAATAGAATGGCACACTTGGATTGGAGCTTCCATTATGATGTTTAACTACATCTTGGCTTTATTTTGTTTTCTTTCTTTCCTTCTTTCTTTTTTTCTTAGTGGCTCAGGCAGGTACTCAGAGAAGAATCTTCATTTTGCTGTCTCTAAGATAGAGATTACTAGGGTCCACATGGTACTAAAACCATACAGGTACTTACAGGGAATTCCTACAGTAGGAAGCTACTTACAGAGGTGCCTCCCCTACAGAGCAGGAATACCTGTACCTATACCAGATGTCTTGTCAACAGACTTTCTTGAGCTAATTGGTCCCTATTTGTCTCCACTTTCAGATTGTTGATCTTCTGCTCACCCATGGAGCTGATGTCAACATGGCAGATAAGCAAGGCCGCACTCCCCTGATGATGGCTGCTTCTGAAGGCCATCTAGGAACTGTTGACTTTCTACTCGCACAAGGTCAGTCCTGGAATACAAGACCTGGGCAACCAGTGCCCATAATTACTCACTGAAGTCCTGATTCCAGCAGTAGGCTCTAGGAGATGTTAAGAATGTATATTATTAATCTAGTTGATTAGAAATTGAGGTCTCTCTCCTATCCTCTTATGAACAGTAGAGTCCTTCCAGCTCTGAAATTTTCTATTTCCTATGTCCTGAGGGAATTAAATCAAGTTACCATGTTCTGAACTCTTTCAATCAGGTTAGTAATCTTCAAACTTTAACTTTTTAAATGTACATTCAATAACTTTTCATCTTTCAGGGATTGTATTTTGACTTTCTCAATTCTTTTATAAACCTACACAACTCATATTTTTCTTGAATCCAGAGAAGGCAAAGGGAAGTTAAGATACCTGTTACCAGTGGGCCTCTATTTGGAGAATCAGGATATTGTTGTGAGGCTGTTGATAACAAGTTCCTGTTGATACTTAACAGCATCCACAAATTCATGGAATGAGAAATGAGTTAAAGGAGATGGAATTATATGAGCTTGATGAACCTTTTCCTATAAAGAGGCCCACCCTCATAGAGCATTTCAGGCTCCTATCCATTGCTATTACCTTATTTACCTGTACAAAACAGTGATTGGTTATATCAAGAATCAACAAATGTGATTATCTAAAATTTTAAAGCTTCTGGACAGCAAAGGAAACAACCACCAGAGTGAAGAGACAACCTACAGCACAAGAGAAAAATGTTGCCAGCTACTTCTCAGAGAACTAATATCTAGAACATAAAAAGAAATTAAAAAATCAGATTCCCCAAAATAAAAGATCCAATCAAAAAAAGGTCAACTGAAATGACTAGATACTTCTCAGAAGTATAAGCGGTCAATAAATACATGAAAAAACATTCAGCTTCTGTGGCCATCAAAGAAAATGTAAATTAAAACAACACTGAAATTCCATCTCACTCCAGAAAGAATGGCTATCATCAAGAAACTCAACACTAAAGCGAGGAGTGATGTCACATGCCTGTAACTCAGGAGGCTGAAGCAGGAGGATCACTATGCATTTGAGGCCAGCCTGAGCTACATAATAAATTCAACACCAGCGAAAGTTCAAGACATAGCAACACTGTGTCTCAAAAAAAAGAACGACAAACAAAAAAGAGAGAAGTCAAACAATCACAAATACTAGAAAGGGTCTGACGGGAAGGCACCCTTCTGCCCTATGGGTGGGAATGTAAACTAGTGTAACCACTATGGAAGTCAGTTTGGACATACCTCACAAAACTAAAACTAGAAGTTCCATTCAACTCAGCCATTTCTCTTCTAGGTATCTGTCTGAAAGAATTGGAGACATCATACTGCAGCAATACATGAATGCCCATGTTTACAGCAGCACAATTCATAATAGCTGTCCTGGCAATAGCCTATATATCCATCAACAGATGAACAGATAAAATATATGTATACACAATGGAGTACTACTCTGCCATAAAGAAGCATCAATTTGAGTCCTTTGTGGAAAATGGACACATCTTAAGACCATAACATCAAGTAAAATAAATCAGACACACAAGCTTAAATATTGCATAACTTCTCTTATATGAGAAACCCAAAGTGTAAGTTATTTGAAGAGCAAAATAAAAGACAGACAACGGGAAACAGATCTTTTACAATGGGAAGAGGATCTAGAGGTAGAGGAGGAGAAAGAAAAATAAAAATAATTAAGATATGTTCATATATCTGCCCTGCACGATAAACATAATCATTATGTACTGCAAACATGCACTTAAAAGGAAAAGTAATTGTTGATGGTGGGCCTCCACAGACCTCCATAGTAGCAACAAAGCTCAAGTCACTGGTAACACCACAGTGCCATCTAGTGGAGCCTTAGCATTTGCAAGGCGCAGGAGGTAACAGTAAAATTATACTGACTTTATTCCCGTTAGCCTCCACTGTGAGTAAACGGGACTTAAACATCTACACAGCACATACAGTGTCCTTCAAAGAAACCAGTCTCCCAGAGAATTATGCCCAAGCCTCAGCAGCTGAGAAAGTGGAACTAGGAAGAGGATTAGATTTCTTCCAAAATGTCGAGCCCGTTTGGAAACTTTCACAGAAAATCTGTTTCCTTAACATCAGTCCCAAGCGTGGGTCAGATGCAGAGAACTGCTCTGCAGGTATGCACAGTGGCTCTTACCTCCCCCGTGCAAACGACCCAACAAGCCGGGCTTCGTGATTCCGACCCTCGTTTCCGTTTGGGGAAGGGGGGCTCCGGGTCGAGGGGGTGAACCTAGATTCCCTAGATTGAATGTGGCAAATGGAAGTGTTCAGAACAAACTATTCCCACTGGGAACGGTGGGGCCTCTTCAGCAACTGGTGACATTTACGTAGCTGCAGAGTCTGCCGTATGCCAGGAAAACCCTTCAGGTACCAGTTCCAGAGGTTTGTTATTCCTTGCTACTAAAAGCACTCTGAAAAAAATTTAAAATAAAATAAGAACACTCTGGTCTTTGGACTAGTTCGTCTTTTTTCACACTTACTAAGGTGCTTTCACTAAGTCAACAAATTTCACAAACATTTATTTAGTCTACATTATTGTAGAACACTATGGTAGGAAATATGCCTGATATTTGTTTTTTGAGTAATAATTTGAACCCTCACAGGGTCTATAATGTGGCAGAGAAGAGATGAAACAAAACAAATACCTTAAAAGGCAGAGATTAATAGAGTACTGGTGTGCCATAAAGAAGAATAAACTTGAGAGATCTGTAGAAAAATGGCTGGCCCTTCACTTAATAATGTTAAGTGAAATATATCAGACATACGGTCTTCAATATATCTTCTCTTTTTTTGTTTCTTTTCTATGAAAAACCCAAAGTATAAATATTTTAAAGAGCAAAATAAAAGATAATAGGAAACAGGGAGCTGGTCTTTTGCAAACAGAAAGAGAACGAAAAGATAGAAGGGGGAGAAAAGAAAGGGAAAGGGAAGCAAAAAGAATTAAGATGTTATGTATATGAACCAACTTCCCACTATGAATATCATCATGAACAGCAAACTTGTACTAATAAAAATTTGTAAAAGAAATTACTAAACTAAATAGATTTTAAAGGCAGAGAATCATAACTGTTCAGATAAAGGTAGTTGAGTTCGAATTGGATAGACTTTGACATTTGAATAGGAAAAATGTTCTATATTTAAGAAGGGGAAGTAATGTAGATGAGAGGTCAGAGAGAACAGGCAGATTGACCAGTAGATGAGGACTGCTGGAAAATAAACCTGGAAAGGTATGTGGAAAAATGGGAAATGGCCAGTTTACAAGAACTTGGACTTAAACCGGGTACGGTGGCGCACATGTGTGATCCCAGCACTCGGGAGGCTGAAATAGGGGGATCACCGTGAGTTCAAGCCCAGCCTGGGCTACATAGTGAGACTGTCTGAAAACAGAAAAATTGGACTTACCTCTGCAGGAAGTAAAGCGAGTCTTTAAAGACAGAGGTGGGGCTGGAGGTGTAGCTGAGTAATAAGAGTACTTGCGTAACACCCACAAGACCTTAGGGTTTTAAAAGAAGAGTTTATGCCAGAGTTGTGCTTTTTTTAAACAAAAAAATCACTGTGGCTATAATATGAATAGTATATTTGATGAAGAACTAAAAGTGGGGCCAGCATATCAATTGGGATTAGAATAGATGAGACATTATAATAGAATAGATGAGATACAGTGAATTTCCAATGCAGGGGCAGTTGCTGTCAGAGTAGAAGAAGAACCAAGTTCAACAAATACTTTGGACACGAAGACTAATTTGTATGTAGGAAATAAGATGGATGAAAGGGTTGACAGTAACTCCAAAGTTGTAAAGTGGATGTTACAACTTCAGATGGATGAAAATTGTGATTTCATTAACTGCATGGAAAAGAAAAGAGAAGGAGAAGATTATAAATCAAATTTGGGGAGCATTGAATATATTATGAATTTGTATCATCTATATATCCTTTCAGTTTCTTAAACTCCGGTTTCCTTTATCTTTGCAAGATCATGTACATTTAATACCTTATTGTCCTTCGGCTTCTTCTGTCCAGGGAGACTGTCCAAGGAACTTACAGATATTACATCTGAGAAAGCCCCTTAGATTCTCTCCTGTGTTCATATTCATTCCATGTTAAAATCACTGTTCTTTTGGGTGTAGTGGCGCACGCCTGTAATCCCAGCACTCGGAAGGCTGAGGGAGAAGGATCGTTATGAGTTCAAGGCCAGCCTGCTCTACATAATGAGACCCTACCTCAAATAAACCAAAGAAAGAAAGAAAAAGAGGAAGGAAGAGAGGGAGGGAAGGAAGGGTTTTAAATTGTAAACTAAAGCATTATGAGAAGGGCTTTCACTGGGGTTAGAGGTATTGTACCTTCTAGTTTTTCATCCTACCATGAAAAGCCACATAGTGGCTTTGACCTCTAGGAATTCAAAGGTCAGAGGTCAGATGATCCTGAACCTGGATGTGGTAGGTCCTAAGTTGAACAGACATCTGAATCTTATCCAGCTTACCAGACAGCCCGGAAAGTGTTCCGTGTGCATTTAGTTGATCTCTAGTTAGTAAATATAACATGCCATTGCAGGGGATGGGGGTCTTTGCTACTCTTCCGAACTGGCAAGGAAATGATTGGCTCCTTGCCATCAAGGAACTTGCAGTCTAGACCCAGGAATCAAACACACACTGAATTTAAACTGCTTACAAAACAGTATTTCAAGTATGCTGGATCCTTACAGATGAAACAATAGTTGCCCAAAGCAGATGTGAAATATAAACGGGACTAGGAAGATAGAGAGAAGGTTATTGAAGAAGACTGACTAGTTTAAGGAAACTCTGAATTTCTTATTTTTTTTAAGTTGATAGGTTAAAACTGTATATATTTATGGTATATAACATGATACAGATATAGATTAGGATGGCGAAATCCAGCTAACATATCCATTATTGTACATACGTGATTTTCATTATTGTTGTCGTAGAAACACTTAAAATCTACACTTGCAGCAGTTTTCAAATATATAGTATTTTACTACTAACTGTAGTTTCCATCATGAACTCTTGAACTTACTCCTTCTGTGTGACAAAGTTTGTATCTTGTTTAGCTTCTCCTCAGCTCTTCCATCCCCCAGCCTTTGCCAAAACCGTTTTACTCTGTTTCTAGGAGCCAGACTTTTTGTTCCAGTGCTGAGGACTGAACCAGGGGCACTCTACCACTGAGCTACACTCCCAGCCCTCCTTTTTTTTTTTTTTCTTTGAGACAGGGTCTCACTAAGTTGCCCGGGCTGGCCTCAAAATTGTGATTCTCCTGATTCAGCCTCCTGAGTAGCTAGTATAACAGGTGTGTGCCACCAAATCCAGCTGAGCTGGACTCTTTTAGATTAAATTCAGAATTTCTTTTGTGACCTGGACTCAGTGTCCTCCCACGCGTACGTTTCTCCCACTTTGGAGAGGAAGAAACTGGCCTGGTACTATCATCCGTGATAAACATGTGCTGGGCTCCCATTTTATAAGAATCTCTCAAGTTTACATTGTTGTAAATGGAAGACTTCCACTCAGTTTAGAAAACATTCATATCGTTTCAGTTTTAGTGTATGTGCTGCCAAAGCGAGCACTCAGAAAACATTAAGAACTGAGTGTACACACGTGGGGTACATAAAAACAGCTAACGGGCTGTGTTACACAGATTCAAATGAAGTAAGTGAACCGGGAGAAGCTCCTTGGAGACATGGGGATCTGAGATAATTCCTAACAAATGGGTAAAAGTGAGGCGAGTCATGGAGAAAGAAAAGATACTCCACACATGGGAGTAACATCACCGAAAGTGAGGGTTCAAGAGCATGTATGGGAGACTCCAGAGGCATTGAGCTCGTCTGCTTGGCCAGAGTAGAAGCTTCTCACAGGGGTATGATGAAATTAAGGGTGGCAACTGAAGTTGAGGTTTGTGGAAGATACAAACTGCCCAGGGCAGCTGGACCCTACTGGCAGTTTATAGGGTCAATCTTTTTTACAATGGAAGCATCCAGAAACAAAATGTAGTCTTTGACAGAACATGTACTTTGAGGACTAGCCCTCCACCATGAATTTTCCTGTCTTCTTAGTCCTGCCTTAACATTTGCTTTTATAGGTGCCTCCATCGCCCTCATGGACAAGGAAGGGTTGACAGCTCTCAGCTGGGCCTGTCTGAAAGGCCATCTCTCGGTAGTACGCTCGCTCGTGGATAATGGAGCCGCCACAGACCATGCTGACAAAAATGGCCGCACCCCACTGGACCTGGCAGCTTTCTATGGTGACGCTGAGGTGGTGAGTGCCTTTCAACAACTAGGAGAGTAGGGTCCGGGACTCCTTCGGTAATACTCGCTGGGGTTCAAAGGTGAAGTCATATTTTAATGATTCCTTGTGTACAGTTCTCAGAGTTATACTTGCTAGAGAGTGAGAATATGCAAAACAGTATTAAAGGCCAGGGATATAGTTGTGGATCGAAATACCGCGGCTGTACAGCCGGGTTCCGACCCGCAGCTGAGTGGAGGTCAGGCAGCAGCCAGCTCCCTCAGTGAAGCAGTGCTGAGCAAGTGCACCTGTTAACTGTTCTCTGTGTTGCAGGTCCAGTTCCTGGTGGATCATGGGGCCATGATCGAGCACGTTGACTACAGTGGAATGCGCCCTTTGGATAGGGCAGTAGGGTGCCGGAACACTTCTGTTGTGGTCACTCTCCTGAAGAAAGGAGCCAAAATAGGTAGGGGAAAGAAAGGTGGTGTTGGCCATCTGTGCCCGGGGGCCAGACTGGTCCAGTGGTCTGACTACCCAGGGTGTTTAGCGTGGCTATGTATAGTTCCCTCTACCCTGGCCCAGTTAGTCCAAGTGAATACAAAATTTCTGGTCCAGAGAGCACCATCTGAGCCATGGTCTGTAGGACTTTGCATCCAGGTTCTCTGCCATGCCCCTGATAGCCTTAGCCAGGAGGCTGCGCTAACCCTAAACACGCCTCAGTGCTGCCTCAGTGCCAGCCCCACCCTGTGAGCATCCTGGGTCCCTGCAGCGCCATGAGCCTTTGCTTTCCCTTGCTCTGAATGTGCTTCAGATTCTCCAGTCCCTGCTGCCTCTGTCCCAGCTGCTCCCCCACCCCACAGGCCTATAGACAAGGGTTGGCTGATGTGCTGGCTTTTTTGCTGCCTGCCTCTCACTGCTGCTTTTTCCTTCTTTTTTTTTTTTTTTTTTTCACCTTCATCCATTTTTTTTTCCTCTCCTACAACTTTTTGTTTTCTCCTTTCTTTGAAGGTTGTCAGACGTTACCGAGTCGCCCACGAGGTATATTTCACCGCTGTCAGCATCAGGCGTGGTCTGATGGCTTGGTCAGCTTTGCCTTCTCCTTTTAATTTTAGCCTGCATGAGTTCCCTACACCTCTAATCTTTTAATTTACTTCACCTTAAAAGAAGATTTTTTTTTAATGACTGTTGTAGAGAATAACTTGAACTTTGGATAACTAACCTTGAAAAGCCTACTTGGTAAATAAGCCCTCTGTAAACTAATCGATTTAACCTTTTCTTTCTTTTGTGGGTAAAGAGTGGTCCTCAATAATGTTGGTTTGTTTCACATCCGTTTGACATTCAAACTGTACTCCTGGTTCAAAGTGAATCGCAGAGAGTCCAATTTGGTACTTACAAATTAAGGGAGCCTTTAAAGTCTTTACTGGTTTCCCTTCTGCAAAATACATATTTAAAAATTAAGAGTCTAAACATCTGGGAGTTTTGAGTCCCAAGTCAAAAATAAATTAGCTTTTTCAAATCTTTTCGTGACCTTTAATAAAAACCTTTCTCCCAACTTCTTGATGTAAAATAATTCCACACTGCACGGTTGTGTGCCCACAAAGGCTCTGCTGTCTTCCTGTGGTGCAAACTCAGACAGTTCAGATATTCTTATTTTAAGGTGAATACAAACCCAACACAGCTTCTTGGCAGTGGGAGTCACTAAAATACTCCCAGGTCTCAAAGATGAGGTAATGATTGTGGAGCAAGTTGTTCTCTCAGCAGAAATTCCCCCAGGATGTTTTTTTCACCTAGCTTCCTACCACCCTTACATTGTATGAGTTTTTACCCATCATGCATCCTGTACACTACAGGTCCAGCCACATGGGCGATGGCCACCTCCAAACCAGACATCATGATCATCCTGCTGAGCAAGCTGATGGAAGAGGGGGACATGTTTTATAAGGTGAGGGCAGGAGGAACACTCCTCAAAAAGCCATGTGTTTTATATGTAGAATGTTCCAAATCTTGGCAGTTATCACCCCGTAGCTAGAGAAAAGGGAAGAATGCCATTCCTTGGTGATTAGCTCCAACACTGAAGATCCTGGAGTTTTGCCTTCCCAACAAGAGTAACCTTGGAGCCGGGAGTGGTGGCACACACCTGTAATCCCAGCATTTGGGAGGCTGATGCAGAAGGATCATCATGAGTTCGAAGCAGGCCTGAGCTACATAGTGAGTTCAAGGCCAGCCTGGACTACACAGCAAGACCCTGTCTCAAAAAAAAAAAAAAAAAAAAAGTGTAACCTACAAATGCATGCAACTCATTAACCTAAGCCCTAGCTTTATCTGACCTTCATAGGTGGCAACATCAATTTTATGTGGAGTCTGTTAAGTGGAAATATATAGGACAAGTAAAAGTAAAATTATGTGGTCTAGCTTTTTCCAGTCTATTGATGGTAGCTGTCATATTTAATATATACATAGGAAAAAGTCAGTAAATACGACAGCATATCAGCATCCTTGAATAAGATAATGAAACCAAGAGAAACAGCACTTACAAGATTTGCTTGAAGTCACCATATTGAATGACAGCCAAAAAATGTGTAGAGTCTTTTTGCACTCATAATTCAAGCTGAAAGTCAGGCATGGTGGCACACATCTGTAATCCCAGCACTCAGGAAGCTGAGGCAGGAGGATCAGTGCAAGTTCAAGACCAGCCCGGGCTACAAAGTGAACTCAAGGCCAGCCTGAACTGCATATTGTCTCAAAAAGACAAAAAAATTCAAGCTGAAGTCTCCATACCCTAACATAAATGTGTCCCATAAAAAGTTCCTTAAGCACATTCCATGTCAAAGTCATCTCCTGATGCTTAGGTAAGCTGGATCATCTTCTCCTGAATATGACTGCAAATCCAACCCAGTCTTTAACAGTGAGCATCCCTGAGACATTCCCAGGTCCAAAAGATGAAATGATTGTGAAGCATGTTGTCCTGCCGTATGTCAGAAGTATGCAAGTTCTTGGGCTCAGAATTCTATTTCCTGAATACTCTTTGAGTGAGAGTCATGTTAACCCTGGACTCTCAGAAGGTTTGAGCCCAACCCAACTTGATTTCATGTTACTTCATGAAAGTCCTCATTGCTCTAGATGTCATATTTATGGAATTTAAAGTGGCATTGCTCTTAAAAATCTAAGTCTTGATTATAGCATGACTTCTGGTATTCCAAGGCAAAGGGTCTAACCTAATGAAAATAGGCAGAGCTATTATTGTTCCCACCCGGAATTCTATTCTGGAAGAATAGAATAGACTCCAGTTTACTGCAGTAAAAGATGCTACAGAGAAAATGAAAGATTCCAACCTGGGGAATTAGAGCAGTACACATGGACTATGACAGGTAAAGGCAGGCGATGCCTTCCGTATCTTTCTAGACTTAACTTACAGATTTTCAGATGCAAAATGGAAGAAAAGCTCGAGGCCCCTGTGGCCAGATTCTTTACTTGGTCATAGATTTACTTCGTCTTCAAAGATCTCTTTTACAAAGGTAGTGGAATTATAAAATCTTTCTCTTTTTGGTAGTACTGAGGATTAAAGGATTAAACCCAGGGCTTTTTGCACTGAGCTATATCCCCAGCCTGGTGTTTTGTTTTTGTTTTATGTTTTATTTTGAGATGGTCTCACTAAGTTGCCCAGACTGGGCTTGCAGTCCTCTTGCCTCAGCCTCCCAGGTAAAATCACAAATTCTGAGGTTCACTTCTCTACTACCACATGCCCTATTCCTTTGCCCCTTTCCTTGGGGGAAACTGGTTGACATGATTTTCTACCCTGAGGTTAGGGAAGCAGCACCTTGGCTATTTCAGCTGCCGTGCCCTCTATGAAAAAGAGAGTGAGCTCTTCTGGAAGGCAGTGCAGTAACCCACCAGACAGGAAAAGACTCTCCAGACAAACCAGCGGCCAAGGGAGAAGCAGTGACCACGGAGCGCACAGAGACAGCCGTCCAAGAAAAATCAGCTTTGAAATGAGCAAGGGCAGCCCTTTGGAATCCCGTTAGGAAGGTGGGATCCAGGGCCTTGCATTTGCCAAGGCTTTGTTTCTCTGACTTGTAACTTGAGTGTCCCTTTCAACCTGCTGTTTCCTACCAAGAGAGTTCCTTCACAAAAGACTAGACCTGGGCTGGGAATGTGGCTTCGTACAGCGATTGTCCGGCCTGTGTGAGGCCCTGGGTTTGAACCCCAGCACAACCAGGGGAAAGAAGAAAGAAAAGTAAGAAAAGACTAGGCCTTCTACTCTCACCATCAGGGTATGTGGTAACTAAATCCTTAACAACTGCAGAGAGCAGGAAGGGAGGAGGGACACTTCCTCAGCTTCCCAGCAGACCAATGGTATGCTTTTCCGTCTTGTACCCCTTCAGAAAGGTAAAGTAAAGGAAGCTGCTCAACGCTACCAGTACGCTCTGAAGAAATTCCCTAGAGAAGGGTTTGGTGAGGACTTGAAAACCTTCCGGGAGCTAAAGGTGTCTCTCCTCCTCAACCTCTCTCGATGCCGCCGGAAAATGAATGTAAGTCTTTCTCATCCCGACTCTTCCCTGTAGTCCTGGAAGTGGGAAGTTCATGCTACTCACTAGCTTGTACCAGGCCCCTGCAGTCCTCTCTGCCCCATTTGGAACTTGGTTGTCCTTCACAGAGCACTGACATCTGCAATTTGAAAGATATCAAGTCTTAAGTGTACTCTGTTTCTCAAGCTGTAGAAAAGTTCATGTGAGCACTTTGTAGCATTCTGAATTTTCATAATTTCTACTAAAAGTAATTGAAATTCCTTCATCTCCATCCCCCCCTTCCACATCAGTTTTTTATTTTATTTTTTGTCTTTTTGAGACAGGGTCTCACTATGCAGTTCAGGCTGGCCTTGAGCTGACTTTGTAGCCCAGGCTGGTCTCGAACTCACAAAGATCCTCCTGCCTCAGCCTCCCAAGTGCTGGGATTACCGGCATGTGCCACCACACTTGGCCAAGTCAGTTTTTCAGTCTTTGGGAAAATGTGAGGGCAGTGGTCTCTAGACCTCCAGCTACAATTAGGGATTTTAGTCATCACCCTCCTTCCTAATATATGCCCCACTCATTTAAGGGTGGGTGAGGAAGAGGGTTCAGAACCATCAACTGAAAGGTTTAGTTTCTAAAGCTATTCTTGAACTTCTTGCTTCCTTCTTTATCTTTTCATTCCAGCATGCCATGTCTCTTCTTGCCCTGGAGGGAATCTTACAACTCTTCCTGTCCTTTGTTATCTCCCTGTGTAGCTGTCCTTGGTCCTTCTCACCTGCCTTGCAGATAGTCTCAGGTGCCCTGAGCCAGTGCTCCTTTGACCCAAGACACTCCTAAGCCAAGAAACCTCTCTCACATTCTAAGCTAAGTATGTGAGGAATAGCTAAGATCATGTGAGGAATTGCTGATAACCATCAGCCTTTCATCTCACAGAGGTAGAAATAATTCCAAGTGCTGATTGGTAAAGAACTCAGCTATACAAAAGCAACATTTCAGCTGGCCAGGAATCTGTATCAGCTCCAGGAAGATTATGGACATGACCTGTATATCATCAGTCCAGGCCCTAAAGTCTAGCAGTGAATATAGCCTTGCGACGGACTTTCCCGTCTTGGAAGACTTAGTTACAGCCTTCAGAGGCAGAGCTGTCCCTGGGTGGTGAGAGAAGTGGGGATATGAAAGGTCCCTTTTGCAGGGCAGTATCTCTAGTGAAGGCAGCAAGGTGGTTCGGCCTGAGTATTTTCCTGTGAAACAGAAGAAATAGCTGTGAGAGTCGCCTGTAGTTCCAACTAGTGAGAATAAGGCAAAGCTCAGAAGTTGCTGCCAACCTGCTTACTTCTTTTTGTCCCTGTCAAATAATCTGCTCTGTAAAGGTACTTTCATAATCCCAGAGATAATTGTTATACAAAAAGAAGAAGTAAAGCATGAGATGGGAAACAGGTTAGAAGATGGCCCATATAAACTGGAATACTTTCCTTCTAGCACTGCCTTTGTACAGAGAGCTAGGCATTACCTCGCACGGGCCAGCACTGCACTAAGTACCGGAAGTCTGTCTCCTTCCATAGAAATTTTTCCAGTAATTTTTTTTAATTTACCTATCCTCCAGGCCCTTTTTCCTGTCTAAGCTTTTGTTTTCTGCCTCAGGAATCATGAGTATAACCAGAGGCTACAGTGCTATACTGTGGCTTGACATTAAAAGGAGAGAATAACCTTCCCCTTCAGCGTAGCATTTAAGAGGATTTTTTTGGGGGGGTACCAGAAATCAAACTCACAACCTTGTGCTTACCAGACAGGTGCTGCACTGCTGAGCTACATCCCTGGCCCTTTAAGAGACTCTTAAAGACCATGGACTTTACTACTCAACATTGTCCCCGAAACCTCTATTCCCAGGGGTTCTCAGAGTGGGGATAGATAGCTCTAAGACCATGTTCCTCTAGAGGACTTTTAGGAGTAGCACAGACCCCCGCCCCAGCTAGCGTCCACTACTTTTTTTTTTTTAAATGTTTCTTAAGTGAGGAACCAGGCAAGGGGAAGAACCAGCCTCTGTGAAATGGGAAATACAATTTACCGAGTGTCTATTATGTGCCAGGCACTATGTATAGCACTTAATTATTTATCATGCTTAATCCTACCTCTGAAGAAAGCAGGGTTAAGAAAACACACAGCACACTCAAGTTATGAAACAGACCAGAGAATTGAGCCCAAATCTGTCTACACCATCTAGTCTCCATGGTCGGTGCAAGTTGCCCTTACTCAGAGGTCCTCCTTCTGGATTCTGTAGGACGCATTCTCCATCATGCCTTAGGAAGCCAGAGTCCAGTGGGCGTGGTAGGACGGTGCAGGGCTAGGCCGAGGTCCTCATGAAATGACGCTGTCTGTAGGTTTGCGTCAGACGTGCATGTGGAACAAGAGTTCAGGTCTGCAGCTTCAGGGTCATCACTATAGAGAGTTCATGTTTAACTTCTAGGCTAAAAAAGAACTTGCTGGAAAGACAGAAAGATACCAAATTAAGTGTTTTGATCCCCTGGGCAGATAAAGTCCAGTGATCAGTCATAGGTCCACTCAGGGCAAAGGTAGAAGGAAACTTTCAGGCTGTGGGCCACATGGCCAGAGCCATGTCAGGCATGTCCAGAATTCCAGGTGTTCCATCCGTAAATGTCAAAGAAATGTACATATAATTTGTTTTATTCCCAAGTTGTCTATTTTTTATATCTCTTCAATGACTCATTTGCACACCTATTGTAATGACAGGATTTTGGAATGGCGGAGGAATTTGCTACTAAGGCCCTGGAGCTGAAACCGAAATCTTATGAAGCTTACTATGCAAGAGCAAGGGCAAAACGCAGCAGCAGGTGAGGAGAGAGAGAGAGAGGGTGAAAAGCAAGAGGTCTTTTCTGAAAATCTGGCCGAGGCGATGTAGGCCACCCCTGGGGCATATGCACCTGAACGTGTCTGTCCTTGAGGCCCAGGCTTTGGGAATGGCTGCCATAGCATAGCATTCAGCTCAAGATCAGTAAATCTTTTGGGCTGTGGAGACCAAGAGCAATTTACTTCGGGAGAAAAGTAAAGTAGATAATGGCACCTTCTTCAAAAAAACCTCTGCCATGTTGCAACCACTTTTCAATCCCAAAGCAGATAGTGTAAAAGGACACTGATGATTTAAAGAGAGAACTTAAGTAAAATACCCCACTGACCCTTTTAAAGGGAAAAGCAGGGTGGGTCACCTACCGTCACAGGTTCCTCTTTTCTTACAGGCATGCAGGGACTCCGCGAATTATTTAGTCTTTTGAAACTCTCCTCAAGTCTGGTGGCATCAACCCTACTTGTCATCTGAACCAAACCGTGTGCGCACGCGCATGCATACACACACACACACACACACACACACCCGGAGGCCCGCTGCCAGGATTGAAGGAACCCAAGGAAATACTGCCCACATTCCTTGTGCCCTCTGCTGTAGTTTAGCTTCTGAGTAGGAAAGCCTCCAGAAGGAACTAGAACCTGCCATCAGTTTCTTTGGGTAATTGGTCACTGCCCTTAATATGTCCCACCCAGCACCCTACCTTCTCTCAGACTCTACTTGGAAGAGAATTGCTTTGGGTTCACTGCTGTTACCAGGGAGATACATCCATGAAAAGCAGACCCAGACTGAGGCTAGTGATGATGGCAGCAGTGATATTAGTTTTAACCACCTGAGATGAAAAAGTGTTTACAGAAAGTTGGCTGTTAAATTCTTCCTCTCGGAATTGTTCCTTTCCCACAAGACCAATTGCCCCTTTTGCAGGCAGCACTAATAGAGAGAATGGGACTATCTCTGACAGTTCATTTCCTCATTTGTAAATTAGAATGTCCTTGGGCTGAGCTCAGCACTGACCTGAGTTGCCTGGTCAGCAAGGCTAATATCTGCCAGCCCTGATCTAGCAGACTGAAACACAGCAGTGGTGTGGGCTGAGGCACAGAAAGGGCAGAAGACAGGGTTCTTGCCTAAGACGGAAAAGGCCTAAAATTTACAGCCAAACTATTACGAATATGAAGAAAATTTCCTGCTGGATCAGCAAGATTTTTAAATATTATGACTACTATTTTATTCCTAAGGTGCTTGACAGTGACACTGTAAATGACAACCCCACCCAACCCTCATACAGCCTGCTGTGCATTCGGGCCCTAAGAGAATCTTCCCGAAGGGCCTGGCTGGACTCACATGGTGGAGACTTTTTCTCTGCTAACCCCAGAGAGGCAAGAAGGAAGGTAAAAGGGCTAAGGAATCATTCTGGACTCTGGTAGAATGACAGCACACGTACGTCTTTCCTTACAAATTAAACTAGATCAAGACACCTCAGTTTCCCACAGGTGCCACCACAGCCCCCTGAAATAGTGACCGTGTTTGCAGCTCTTGGTGACCCTATTGATTCAGAGTAATTGCAGTTCCTGTGTTTGCATTTTGTCAAGCAGACAGTTTGCAGCAGCCTTAGAGGACCTGAACGAGGCCATCAAGCTATGTCCAAACAACCGTGAGATCCAGAGACTCCTGATGAGAGTGGAGGAAGAGTGCAGACAGATGCAGCAGCAGCAGCAGCAGCCGCCGCCACCGCCGCCGCCACCACAGCAGCAGCCTCCGCAGCAGTTAACAGAAGAGTCAGAGCCCGAACCACAGCATGAAGATACATACTCCATACAAGATATATTTGAGGAGGAATACCTGGAACAGGATGTTGAAAATGTTTCCATTGGCCTCCAGACAGAGGCTCGGCCCAGTCAGGGGCTCCCAATAATCCAGAGCCCACCCTCCTCTCCAGCCCAGAGGGATCCGGCCTACATCTCTAGCTCACCTCTTGGCTCTCATCAGGTTTTTGACTTCCGGTCCAATAGTTCTGTAGGTTCTCCCACTAGACAGGGATATCAGTCCACCTCACCTGCTCTTTCTCCAACTCACCAGAACTCTCATTACAGGCCTAGTCCGCCACACACTTCCCCAGCTCATCAGGGTGGCTCTTACCGTTTTAGCCCCCCGCCTGTGGGAGGGCAGAGCAAAGAATACCCAAGCCCTCCCCCTTCCCCTCTTCGTAGAGGTCCTCAGTATCGGGCCAGCCCTCCAGCTGAAAGCATGAGTGTCTACAGATCCCAGTCTGGTTCACCTGTGCGCTATCAGCAAGAAACAAGCGTTAGCCAGCTTCCTGGCAGACCAAAATCTCCATTATCTAAAATGGCCCGCCCCTACCAGATGCCTCAGCTTCCTGTGGCAGTTCCCCAGCAAGGGCTCAGGCTACAGCCTGCTAAGGCCCAGATTGTGAGAAGCAATCAGCCCAGCTCAGCAGTTCACTCGAGCACTGTCATCCCCACCGGAGCCTATGGCCAAGTTGCCCATTCAATGGCCAGTAAGTACCAGTCTTCACAGGGAGACATGGGAGTAGGTCAGAGCCGATTGGTTTATCAAGGATCAATTGGGGGAATTGTAGGGGATGGGAGACCCGTGCAGCATGTCCAAGCCAGCCTGAGTGCAGGTGCCATCTGTCAACATGGCGGGTTGACCAAAGAAGACCTTCCACAGCGACCTTCCTCAGCTTACCGAGGTGGCATGAGGTATAGCCAGACACCGCAAATTGGGCGTAGCCAGTCAGCATCCTATTACCCAGTATGTCACTCAAAACTAGATTTGGAGCGTTCCTCCAGCCAGCTAGGTTCCCCTGATGTGTCACATTTAATCAGAAGACCTATCAGTGTCAACCCCAGTGAAATCAAGCCCCACCCACCAACCCCCAGGCCACTGCTGCACTCGCAGAGCGTGGGCCTTCGCTTCTCTCCATCTAGCAATAGCATCTCATCCGCCTCCAACCTAACTCCAACCTTCCGGCCTTCTTCCTCGATTCAGCAAATGGAGATCCCACTGAAACCGGCATATGATAGGTCATGTGACGAGCTGTCGCCAGTATCTCCCACTCAGGGAGGTTACCCCAGTGAGCCCACCCGATCCAGGACCACACCATTCATGGGGATCATAGATAAAACGGCCCGGACTCAACAGTACCCCCACCTTCACCAGCAGAATCGGACCTGGGCCGTGTCATCAGTGGATACCGTACTCAGTCCCACATCTCCGGGCAACCTGCCCCAGCCTGAGTCCTTCAGCCCACCATCATCCATCAGCAACATTGCCTTTTATAACAAAACCAACAATGCACAGAATGGCCATTTGCTGGAGGACGATTACTACAGCCCCCATGGGATGCTGGCTAACGGGTCCCGTGGAGACCTCTTGGAAAGAGTCAGCCAAGCCGCCTCCTATCCCGACGTGAAGGTAGCTCGGACCCTACCCGTGGCTCAGGCATACCAGGACAACCTGTACAGGCAGTTGTCCCGGGACTCTCGACAAGGGCAGACATCCCCTATCAAACCAAAGAGACCGTTCGTGGAGTCTAATGTTTAAAAGACATTTGTTGGAGTGAGACCCATATGTTTTCACTGCACATTTTCAGGCTTGGTTTCCACATTGAGGTAGTTCTCTGGCTTAATTTCTTACGTAATTTATGTGTGGTGTTCAGAGGTGGCAGCCCACATGCTGAAATCCTTTGCATGCAGCCAACTGGGAAGCTGGCCTCCAGAAAGCCAGGACTTCAGTTTCTCTGGTCTGTGCCCCAGCCACACACACTCCCTCTTCAGATGTCAACAAGGAGATTTCTGTGCTGTGTGCTTTAACCCAGGGAGATCAGAAAACACTGGTCAGCTTTTTCCAGGAGACAATCGCTTTCACTGATGTTCTTGTTGTATAAATGTCTTTTTTTCCTTTTTTAAAAAGTAAGATGTTCTTGTTCATTTTCTTCTAGGAACTTTAGGAAAGTGTGATGCCCCTTTGCCTTTGCGTTCTTATCCAGTGTTATCCGAGTACCCAGCCCCAGTGCATTCCTGTGCCGTGGTCTCCTCCCCCGACTGCCAGCTCCCTGCAGTCACCAGGTCTAGAATGTTCATTTGCATTACTGCTGGTCTTCCTGTGGGGTAGAAGAGTCGAGGAAACAGAGGGAAGAAATAAGTCTTTTAAATTAGAAAAAAAAACCACAGTATAATTATTTGGAGCATCACTACACTGATTTTCCAAGAGGCATTTTAGGAACATTTAGGAACCAGCCAGCCCTTGAAGTGTACCAGTCAGCCAAGGAAATTCAATGAGAACCATGGCATTTTCAAAGAATTCACTGAGAATTATTCTTAGGTTTTTAACCAGCAAGTAACCACAAAAAGCTGCTGATTTGCCAAGGGTAGAGAAGGGAATAAATGCAGAGAGAAAGAGAACAGGAAAAAGATGGTTCTGGATTCTCAGAAAAATGCTATGGAACATCTCTTCTACTGTGTAGGTCCTGAAACAGCACTGAGCATCAGACTCCACAGAAAGCAGCTATCCCTGGGGGTTGTCTGGTATAATAATCCTGTTGGTTGCTTTTCCACCGAGAGCCATGTTCTGTTTCATTGACCTTCTGTTTTCCAACCCACATGGTGTTGAGAAGAAGTTGGTTCTTCAGAAAGCTGACTGGATTTTCTTGGGACCATAAGACTGACTCCCAGGGCTGCCACCCAAGGCCATTGCATTCCATGCCAGTTGTCTATTCCATTGCAAGATGTATAGTGGTACGTTCACTACTACAGGAATTACTTTCTTTTTCTAGGGGTGTTTGAAGAGGTGATATTGTAATACCAGACACAGCAAAATGTTTTGAGGTGGAGACCTTTCAGCGCTGTTTTCTAGCCCTGGGTGGGGGCATGACACAGACACGTTTCCTCTCCAGTCATTCTCTGCACATCTTCTAGGTCTTTTGCTTGTTTGGTAACCTGACTTGTAAGTGACCGAGGCCACTATGAAATGGACAGCGAGAACACGGACACCAAGGCCTTAGCATGGTCCTGTCGCTGGCTGCACATCAGCCCTTAAAACTGAACAGCTCCACCCAACAAACTAAACAGCTGAAATTAAGCAAAGGAGCACAACTCCCTGTTGTTAGGAGTAATTCTGCTCTTGTTAGTAAAGAGCTACAGGAAGGGCACTTTCCTGAATAAAGTCTAGTTGTTACCAGACTCATTTGTAGAAGTACTCTCTGAAAGGATCATTGAGACATGGAGAGCATAAAACTGAGCTCAGCAACATTTCTTTACTAATTTAAATTCTGCCGAGCAGATGGAGCTCCTCAGTCCCAAGCCTAAAACAGTGTAACCCTCCTGCTCATCTCTGTGCTGAGAGCAAACACCTGGGGCAGCACGGCCTTCGCCCAGCCGGACCAGGGCGGGCCTCCGCCTGCCTGCCTGGCTCTCTCACACCAGGAAGCGGAAGCGTGGGCTGGAGGCGTAGCTCCACAGCACAGTGCTCGCCTACCGTGTCCGGCTGCAGCGCTCCCAGCTAAGGCTGACCCCACAGCTTCACACTTCACACTTCGGCATCACCTTTTGTTTCTTTTTTTAGCCTCTCAGCTATCTTTTTGGCCAGGTCTCAGACCTGTTTGTGTCTTTGCAATTTTGTCCCATTTAAACCACCTCTCAGTGGAGAACTGCTACATTTTGAAGAGTTCTCGGTCGATTAGAAAAGAGCTCCCTGCCTATTTGGACTGCCACACATACCACTCAAACTCATCTGTCGCGGCAGGTGGGTAACCCACGTGGTTTTACAAACCTTACATCTCCCCCAAGATTTCTCTTTCCGTTTTCCAGGACTAATGAGAGATTTAAGGACTACATCCTACTGAGCAAAATATCCACAGGCAAAGTGCAGTTCTTTTTTAGCCATAGAAGAGGGAGTGAATATCACTACTGGGGCCCGTTGCTTTTGTAGAAATAAACAGGAATTGGGGGGGGCAGGAGATGAGTTCTTCCTTGGAAGCTGACTGTGCCCGTTTTTGCTACTTCACTGCCATGGATGGTCTCTGTACTGTACTTTAGAGATGCTCCTTCCCCACGACAGACATTTGCCGAATCAGTGTCTGGCTTCAGGTGGGAGGGAGCTTTTCAAATGAAGCTGGCTAAGTCCCACTTACCCAATTGCCGTCCCTCTGACATGGAGATAGAGGTACCTTCGGCTTGCAGGTTTCTTACCAAGTCACGTTTCCTTGCCCAGAATTCTTGCACTGAAGGGTTCCATCACATCATGTCTATAAATGGTGCACTTTACTGTTTGAATCTGTAACTCTGATAAATACTGGGTATTTAAGTGTGAGTAGTGTCTTCCTTAGGAGTTAGCAGAATCGCTCGTCTTTTAGTGTATTTTTCAAGAAAAACAAGGAGAAGAAAGAAATCAAGCAGTGAATCACAGCATTTATAGCACAAGAAATAGCTAATTGTATATAAGCATCAAAAAGATGAAGAATTTTTAAACAAAAAAATCTTTGCAGTGATTTTAAAGTGCTTTTCCAGCAATTTTCTTAGGGACTCCTGAGACATGATTACTTTATTTACTGGATCAGTAAGGCACACAGTCAACAATTAAAAATAAATGTTTATTTACAAAGTAAAGGAAAACCCTGTGTAACATGAGAATTGGCACGGACAAAATGGAGGCCATTTTGTATCTGCTGTTGTAGCTGTCTGGGTTGCAGGTGTGCCCTATTAAAAGTCCCGAGTTAATAGAGCACAAACCCTTCTTGTTCCTCTCCCACGTACCCTCTTTTTAGATGTGTTTAAACTTAAACGCGATGGCTCAGGAAAATTCCACTAATTAGAATCATGTACAGTACCCAGGTTGTCGTCCAGATATACAAGTTTGCTAATTTTAGTTAAGCCTAGATTATTAAATACTTTTCCTAAATTATTATAAACACAGCAACCTAGAGAAAAGTGTTCTTGGTCCTTATATTGTATAGTAGTTTATGAACCCCTCTAAATATTGGTATTTTTATATTCCAGAGATGTGCCCAATAGAAAAATTAAAAGTTAATCAGTATCTAATTTAATATCCATAAGTATTTTTCCTTAGATTTTAGTCATAAACAGTGGGCTATGTGGATGTCACGTGTGCTTCACCACGCTTTACCACTAGGTGTCACTGTGGCTCTGCACCGCGCTTGTCTGGTAGCAAGGAAAGGCAGCCTTCCCTCCAGAGGAGCTGCTTCCAGGGCAGCAAGCAGGCCACATGCTGAGGTTTAGGAAGAAGGGAAAGGCCTGGAAGGGCCTTCATGCATCCATGCCAGTTGTAGCAAGACACTACACACTACCTGCTTTGGAACTTCAGCCAGGCATAGGCTGGAGGAAGGGTGGATAGCACGCCCTTGTTCTGACGGATGGCTGGGTGTGGGGAGGACCCTTTCTCCCCCGTGAACATCCCTCCTTTCAGCCTCCAACTTTTGTAACTCCAGAAATATCACAGCTGGGTGGTTTGAATCAAAGATAGTTATTTTTCTACTGCAGAAATGCCTTGGACAAAACCAGTTGCTCACTGAATCTTTGCCACAAAATGGAGCAGGCGCTCCCGGGGGGCAAGATGTGCCTGCCCGCGCCCCGTTTCCTGTCAGTGCTCAGCAGCTTCGCTCACCCTCCTGTCCGTCCTTGGGCTGTCTACTTCTCAAGAAGCCGACCTGCAAAGGCAACCTGCTGCTGCCTCCGCACCGAGGGCCACGCCTCCCTGGGAGGTGTGGCTCCTCTTCTTCCTCTAGGAATTCCAGATTGACCATCTTCCATAGCAACAATGAACAAAGGGCTTAGGGGTAAGAGCTACCTACAAAGACGTGTCATGGAAACCTTCACCATGCAATGCCTTGAACTCAGCTCTGGCTGCTCCCAAGAAAAGGTGGCTGGCTGGGGGCCTGGACAAAAGCACAATGGGGCTGGTGGAGCCACTGTGCAGAGCTACTTGAATAATCACTGGGTCTTCATCAACTCCTTCTGTAACACAGACCACTCAAGGGCTGAAGTGTTGGTAACCTTCATTTCGGTGTCCAGTGCCTCACAGCAGCTGAGCCGCCCTGAGATGCTCATGGCCACGCGATGGCCACGGTCAGAGCTCTGAAAGTCAGTACCAAATGAATGCGTAATTGGACACCAAAAATCAAGCGTTACTTTCATGTTTCCTCACCCTGTCATCTCATTTCTTCCTGCTGACTCTGTGATACCTACACTAAACTGACCAGTCAGGTTGTAGCTGGATGCATGGAGATGCAGGCCAGCATTGCTCATTTTTCAGATAGACCTATTCTGTGGAAAGGAAGTGGCTTAGCTGCTTTGATTTTGTAGCACTTGGTGGCTGAATTTTCTTTTGCTAATCACTAACCAGAAAATCTGGCTAGAAGGTCTCAACTCACGCCCATCAGTCCCCAGGACTAGACAGAGAGTTATTCTGGAAAATTCAGTACTTGAATGTACCTGCCTTACTGTGTACCACTTTAGGGGGTGGGGGTAGAGAGGCCGGCCCAGATCTCCACTTCATTCATGGGTTGTTTTGGAAACCCTGTACGTTCAGTTCTTGTTCCTGTTCTGTTTTATTGCCGTTGCTGTTGTTGCTTTTGGTTTTGGTTTTGTTTTACCTATGGCTGATTCCTGCTGAGTGGGGCCAGTTCCTTGTCAGGCTCAGGGCAGGTGCCATTCTCAGGCATGGCCTCCTTTCCATCTAGCACAGCATCTGTGTCTCTGTTCTGTCTCCTCCAAATCCAAGATGATTTTAATTAGTACAGACATGTACAGTCTACAATTAAAGAGTGATTTGTACTAATATGATTTTGATTCTTCCTCTTTGCTGTCCTTTCAAGACACTTGCTGGAAAAAGCTTTAATGCACTTAGTTTTCCTTTAGGTTTTCTATAACTCAGATGTAAAGGACTTTCTCTGTACAGTATATTATCCAATGCATGTTTGTTCTCTATCCTGATATACTGAACACCACACAGTCGTGAACTCGTGCAGTGGGGATGCCCCACACCCCGCGGAGGCCTCCAGCCCCGTGTGTAAGGAAGACATTTTCCTTTGCTGTACTTGCTTGAGCAGTTTTATTGTCTGTACATGTGAGCTGTGTGAGATAGATGTGAAAAGTTCAAATGAATGCATTTTCCTGCCCCATGTATACAGAGCGTCATCTGTACAATGAATTGTATGTACGAAAGCAAATGTACTTATTTATAAATGGTTAACACTTGGAAAGAGCTGGCGTTGTGGTGCTTTTCTCCTTCCATTGTGCTTTCTCCAGGGAGCTGAGGTCTGGACTTACCCCCGGGACCACAGTGCTGAGGGTCTCACCCACCAAAGAAGAATGGGGTGGGTTAACCACTGACCAGTCCAAATTATTTAAATACAGGATGACCCAAAATTGCATATTTTCATTAATTTTTATAAGGTAATATAATAGAAAACATAAAAGTGACTATTTTATCAAGTGTATTCAATACCAGCATCAACTAGTTAAAATGACACCTGCTCGAATGACACTCAGGCTAGTGCCTAGACAGACACGCTGCCAGGGTGACACTCGGGTAAACTGTTAAGTGGTTAAGGCCAAGGCCAAAGTCCTGGCAATTTGGTTGGTCTGTTGTGGGATGTTCAGAGTCACCTCTTCCTCATCTATTCAGCCTAATTACTGAGCATCTCTGAGCCGGACACTGCAATAGGCGTTTGAAGGATCTGTGGCACAAAGGAAGAGTTCTAGGGACCTTGCAGCGAAGGTCCCTTTCTTCAGTGGAAGCTCTACCAAGAGAGCCCTGTACTCTCATGTCATTTAGCTGCTACCCAGCCACCTTACCAAAACCAAGGCTGAAGTGGGCTTGCAGTCACGTTGTCAAGTAGAGACGGCATGCCCAGGATGGGGGCAGCCTGGGCTGTAGGTCCAGAGGCTAACTTGGCCAAAGCTGGAGGCCTATAGCTTTGAGTGGCTTTAATAATTCTTCAGAAATCTGGCCACACTTCTAGTCCTCATGATACAGACAGCGAGGTAGCTTCAGAGTGAATACAGACGTTGCAGGTTTCCTGAAACTGACTCTGCCTTGAAAAAACAAAGCGGTGGCCCTGAGCCCTGCGGCCTTTCCCAACTGCGACCTCTTTACCCCAGGGACAAGCAAGGAAAGAGACCACTTCCTCTAGACATGTGATTATCTAAACAAACATTCCTGCTGGGCAGCCACATCCAGTTTCCCGAACAGCCCAAACCCAGGGAAGCCGGAAAACGCCAGGCCATGCACAGACGTCCCAGCCTGGACACCAGGTCACCTTCGAAAAGCCGAGAGGACCCTAAAAGGAACCACTGGCTGGTCTGAAAACCATGGTTATTTCATTAGAAACTAAAAGTGGATAAATGCTTGGCAAAACCCCATTTTAAAGGATTCCTGGGCATTGGAAGAAAGGTACCATTAAAAAAAAATCCTTATAAAAATTTTCCTTGCACCTGATTGAAAAGCTACTCAAAGTACAAGTGAACAGCAAATCACAAGAAAGTCTTCGTAGGTTTTCAGAAGTTTTTTGCTACTTCATTCCCTAATAGGCGCCTCTTATTAACCCAATAGGTAGGTGCTCCACTGTGCATATCTGCATGTGGGAGCTAGGTTCTCCTGCCGGCTGGGAAAAGTAGGCAGAAACTACTGTCAGCGTGAGGATGGAGTGTCTTCTTCCTGTTTGAGGATCCGGGAAGTGGTATGTGCCTGGAGTTCCAGCACACAGGAGGCTGAGGCAAGAGGATTGAGAGTTTGAGGCCAGCCTGGGATATACTGAGACCTTGTCTTGAAAAACAAGCAGGAGAAGTTTAGAGCCCCTTCCTGAGTCATTCCATTCCAGGGAATGAGACAGGGCACTGATGATGAAGCTGTTGTGTCTGGAAGGCTCAGGGTAAAAGTTAGTTTCCTTACACGAGAGAAGGCTCAGAGTTCCAGACCCATTATGCCCAAGCACTATGACAGGGACTTTACATATGTTCCCTGGTGTTGTGGCAGATGCCTGTAATCCTAGCACTTGGGAGGCTCAGGCAGGAGGACTGTCATGAGTTTAAGACCAGCCTGAACTACAAAGTGAGATTTTGTCTCAAAAAAAAGGAGGACGGAGAAGAGGAAGGAGAGCTTGCCAATAGTTGCTTTGTGTTCCTTTGAAGAAACAATCTCACCAAAGTCAAGAGCAGTTTGGGGACTTTTCAGGGTTCCAAACTCAAAGAAAAGGTGAGATCCTTGCCCTCATTTAACTTGAGAGTTTTAGAAGAGATGCAGGAGTAGCCTTCTAGAGAGGGAGGATCTCCTCTGGTTTCTGGAATCATTTGAATATTCACATAGAGACCTAGAAGATTCAGAGGCTAGCCCCCAAAGCCAGAGTATGGTGGCATGTAAGAGGGTCTAGACCTCTCTGCTTCACACTGACAGCCCTCTGCTTGACAGCCCACTTGGCTTATGACATGTACCAAGCTGTGTATCTTCAATGCTTTTAAGCAAACGAAGGTCCACAAGGAATCCTTGATTCAGAGGAAGACTGAATGGATGTTCAAAGGGGACCTCTCAACTCCAGCTCCTGTGCATTAGAAAACAGCTACAATGAGAACAAAGTTAAGTGCTAGGAAGCAAGTGTGCATCTTACTGGTGAGAGGATTTGTGGTAGGGTACCTTTAAATAGTGAGTTCCTCAGTAAATTTGTAAATTGCTTTAAATGACACACAGTGAGTTCCATCCAAATTTACCACAAACATAGCTCTTGCCTAAGCCATATAAATTGATATAAAGTAGAATCTCAGCCTGTGCTGAAATCTTTGCTCTTCTTAGGGATCAAAAAGACATATAAGAGCAGTTGGGGTGTCACATGCCCATAATCCCAGTACTCAAGAGGATGAGGCAGGAGGACCATCACAAAGTCAAGGCCAGGAATTACACAGCAAAACAAAACAAAAGACATATTAAAAAAAAAAAAAATACTTGAGCTGGGGTATAGCTCAATAGCAAAGTACTTGCATAACATGAACAAGACCATGGGTTTAATACCCAGCACTCAAAAAAAACATCGAGTACTTTACTGCACTGTATTGTACTTACTGTACTGTACTGAAGGACACTTCTTGCTTTGGGCCCTTACGGGGCTCCTGCAGCTTCACCTGGAGATTCTCCAACACAGGGAAAAGCTCCCCCCACAGGGACCATTCCCGGTCTGTGCTGCGATAAACACCACTGGGCACTTTACCCTCTGTGCCCAGCCTGGGGCCCGGTCCTCTCAACCCTTAGTAGAACTAACATTGCTGCCAAAAGGTCTGGTTCCCCTCACTGCCCCAGCAAATGAAGATAACAGGCACACAGACTGCTATCGCCATTTATTGAATCATCTGCTGCACAAACGGCACGTCTACCTCCCAGAGGACACCACAGGCAAATGACGGAAACCACGCACATCTGCTTGCGGGCCTTCTTCGGTTCGTGGTTATCTAACATACGCCTCGGCAGACAGGCCAGTTTACAGGCGCTCACCGCAAACCTGCGCTTCCTGCTCTGCGAACCCGGCCACAGGGGGCACAACTGTACCTTCGTCGTTTGTCTAAGGAGGAGTTTCCGACGTGTAAACATTTGACCAGGCAGGGTGTGCGCTGTGATTAAAGAACTGCTAAGACCCCGTCCTCGCAGAGCACACTGCCGAAGCGAGGTGACGTCCCGGCCCAGGCCGGCGGAGAGGGCAAGGGGCTGGGCAGAGGGCTGGACCACGGCTGCGTGCTCTGGGAAGGGACATCGCCGGAGGAAGGCCCCAGCAGAAGCCACTTAGGAGAATGTAAGCAACAGGAGGCCAGCCCGTTTCTCTAAGGCGGCGTTTAAGTGTGGAAACGTCACTGCAGAGAATTAGGAGTCAGGTTTGGAAATTTTATTAATTTCTTTAAGTAAACTGTTTGTCTTAAACCGTCGGGCTCCGGAAAGCCCGGAAAACAAGGAGAGAGGGTTTGCCAAACTGAAGCAGCACAAGATCGATGCTCTCATCACATGATTTCTAGCCCGAAGCCCAGCAGTGACTCAGCTAACAGCACGCAGGGGGCTGGGGCGGGGCGCAGCCATCACAGGGGACTCGCGTCCTTCTGCCGTCCCCACGGCGCAGCGCGCGGGCCCGCCGGGGACGGGACACTCCCACGGCAGCACAAGCAGGCGGGGGCGCCCCGGCCGCGGAGCCAG